TTGGCAAAATACGTTTTCTTTCAGTGTACAAGCTTTGGGCTCTTCGCTGCTCTCTACTCCCTGCCACGGCACTTAGCCAACGCCATTTTGGGCCGCCCCCTGTTTCTCCCCCGTCTCATCCTCCGCCTCTGTCCAATTCCCGCCGACTCCCTCTCTTTCTAGCTCTCTATATCCATCTCTATCTCTCTGTATGTCGCCGTGCCTCGCTGATGATTTAAGTGCACTTTGATGCACATTTTTCGTTGCTACTTGCAACAGAAGCAGCATCAGCAGCTGCCCCAGATAATTTAATTAAATTATACGCTTCCTTACGTGCGTGGGCGGAGGGGGGAGGAGGGGAGGGGAGGGGAGGAGAGGGTCAGGGAGCGATGGGTTAAGGGGGCAGCTCGGATTTTAATAAGGTTTGTTGGTTAGCTAGTTTTGAGGTTGAGCTGAGTGTAGTTTTGGTTTAGTTTTATGCGGCCAGCCCCAGCCTCTTTGTGCTTTTCGGGCTGCCAGCCATCTGGGTTGGAAAACTAAAGAAAAGTGGGAGAAGTCAATGGAAAATGGCAGAGACAAAAAGAGACAAGAGAAAGTGGAAGATGAGGAGATTAAATAGATGTTCCATCAATTCATTTACTTCCCCTCTGTCTTCTTTTTAAATATCTAAATGAAGTACTTATTATTAATCATTTTAAAAACTCTCTAATAACTCTATCAGACTATAAGATTCGAATTTGTCTTGATTTTGTAATGCCTTATTTTCCTATTTCGTTTTTTCAGCATTTTTTCAAGTAGCGAAATAAAGCACAATCATTGCTGTCATATTTGCATAGCATAAATCATCGTACTTGTCATAAATACCACCTCTTCATCATAATAGGAATGTATTGCATTCCCCAGCACTTTTTTTCTGGGCATCATACTTCATCCTAACTATATTAAAAAGGTGGCAATTCCCCTGTTGCTCTTGGAAAAAAAGGTTTGAAAGTTATTCGTCAACGTCACAGCGCGGTTGTTGATGCGACATGCCACAGACGAGAGTCGACACTAGCCGCAACCGACATAAGATATGGCAGCCGAAAATACAAATAATACATAAAGACACAAGGCAAAAACACACATTTGGTGTTCATAAAGTCATCATGTTTTCACATTTCAAGACTGCAGCCACCGCATTTGCTGTTTGCTTATGTTCTTAAACTGGAAACTGACGAAAAAAGGCGGTGCAGAAAAACTTCCTGGACGGCAAAGGGTAAACAAACTCTCGCAAATTCCTGGCAAACAAACTTCAACTTTAACACTCGCACACGGACACACCCGAAATGTCTTCATTTTTACCTGCCCTCGACGGCAGAGCCTCCTTTTGCTCTTCTGCTTTTCAGGTAACGCCTAACACAGTTACAAATGTGCAGGAACATCAACATGTACAACAACGCCGGCCAGCAACTGGCAGGAGGAAAACCTCAGACCAAACATATTTGCATAAACAGAACCCCACTTTGATGGTTTTGCGGGGCCGAGATGGAAAGTCAAAGGTGTTTTCACTATCGCATGAAGTTGGCGCCGAAAGGGATAACTTTTTATGGAATATTTATATGAATATTTCAGGGAGAAGACTCACAGTTTTTTGTGCTGTTCGGGCAGAATTTAAAGTGGCAAATTATGTATTATTTACAGAGCCCAAGTTTTTGTTTCATTTAAGTTGTACTAGCGTGAGAGAGAGACATACATGTCTTAATTTATAAATCTTTTAAAAGTGTTTAAATTTTTTTTTGATTTTAAACCAAATAAGAGAATCTTTAGGTCAAGCTATATCAATGAAGTAGTCAAGACCTTCATGTCTTCCAACCTCATAATTCTTTTATTTAAATATATACTATAACCTAGAGTAAAATCATTATTTAATTCGTCTGCCTTATGGGACTAAAGAGTATTAGAGCCTCAGTTTCAAGTCCCTCAAAGTCCTCTTCACATTTCTTGCTGTTGTGCGGCTGTGCTTGGCATCATCAGGTTAGTGTTTAACCTCTGCAGAGTGCTGCAGTCCACTCAAAAAGTCTTTGACTTGCCATTCCACTACCCCTTTGCCCAACTTTGGATCAAGGCAAAAAACTAAGGCAACCAACCAGTAAACCAAGGCAGCCAGTCAGGCAGAGTTAACCAGTCGCTGTAGTCCTCATCATCACCATCATCACCATCATCATCATCATCATCCCTGCTTGGCATAGCTTTTAACCACTCGGCTGGCTCTTTAACGCGTTAACGGGTTAAGTTGCCTTTTGTGACCATGTTTTTGTTTTAAGCGGTGCCTAAAACAACAGACATGCACGGAGGAAAGCATATTCGTACTTGGAGATATTGTAAGAAGCCGTGAAATCTACTTTTCTTAGAGTTAAGGACCACAAAAAGTCAAATAAGAAAGATTTACTGCTTAAAATATATAACGATATGTATAATCCACACCTTTGCAGATAATACATTTCTCCCAGTGTTGAGGGGAAAAGTAAATTTAAATGAGTCGGTTCATGTGTAATTAGTCGCGCAGACTAGTCATAATCTGATGTTAAATGCCTCTGTGGCCACATTTTAAAGTCAATTCTGAGGTGACCCAAAGGCGCCGCCGCGGCCAACCACTGACGATTCATCCCATCCGAATCGACATTGCAACTCCAGGAACTTCATTTTCCCGGGGCGGCCACTTCAATTCTTCGACCGCGCAATTCATCTCACTTACAGGATGGGGCAAAAAAAAGAGAAAAGGGGTGAAATGTTGGTGAGTGACAGTGGCTGACGGCCCCCCTCTGTAGGCGTGGTGCGTTGTCTAGGTTTTCCTGCTGGTATTTCCCCCCCGTCGATCCTTTTAGTTGCGCGGCTGTCGCACTAGCTGCGGTTTTGGAAAGCCTTCATTTTCCGGCAGTTTTTTGCCATGGCGGAGTGCTTTAATTTTGAGTGTCCTCTTTGGATTTCTTTTTTCTTTTGTATGTAATTAGGAGGCTTGAGAGTTTTTATTTTAAGAGATTTTATTTGTATAGCAAGGATCATTCTTTTTAGTAAGAGTAGAGAAACCTTTAAGGCACGAATTCAAGGGATTTCTTATGAGTACTGACAAAGTATTATTTCCAGTTTTTACAGCATTTTGAGGCAATTGTATTTGCCTTGTTTGAGCTACCGGATTATTACTTTATCAGCAAAGCATTTCTCATTTCTTAAAGGGAAGCAAACGCCTAAGTTTCCTGCCCGACAACGAACCCTATTTTCTCGTTTTCATTCCCGAGCATTTTTTCTACGCCCTCCGAGGCATTTTTCTCCCGCAGAACTTTGTCATAATTTTGCAGCGAGGCACGTCGACTTCTCCTGACTCCGCCGAGTCCCCGGATCCTCTGATGTCCTGCCCCTGCCCCTGCCCCGGGGCCTTGGCTAGGCTGTCAGCGTGATAACTCCTTTTCGTGTTAAACATTTTCAGCTTGCCTTGAGTGCGAGGGCGAGTGTGTGTGTGGGTGTGTGCGAAAGCTCTATGGGTTATGCAGCAGCTGTCGCCCGTGCGGACGCACACAAACAAAGTCAGCGTACTCACATTCACGTACACTGCACGAAATATCCAGTATTTATCTCTTAAAATTATATATTTAAAATAATAGTCAAGCAATTACAATAAAAAAGGTGAAATCATCTATGAGAAAAGTTCGGAAAAGGGGGAAGAAAAGATACCCTGAAATAATAATTCAAATCCTCCAAATACCTACGAAAGCAAATCATTATTATGAAATAATAATAATAATAATAATAATAATTTCTCTACGTAGATTTGTAATGATTTAAACTATTTTATAATAATAATATGTTAACATTTATGTACATTTTGTAGCGAATTTTCTCGCTGTGCAGCGACGCTTTCCTCTCGACCTCGGTCACACTCTCGAGCGTCCATTGCATGGCAGGAGGACTGGCAGGGGTCTCCATCTCGTGTCCTGCGAGGCTACGACTCTTTTGGAGTCAACTGCATGCCAGTTTTGTTCGCTCCTCCAGCCTTTGCCTGCTTTTGATTACAATGCTGGTTATGTTCTCACCCTCGCCGAGTGTGAGTGCGAATGCAAGTGCTCTGTGTGTGTGTGTGGCAGCCGCATCCTGCCGGATCCTGGCATCGTTCGCCTCTGATAACACGTTAAGTGCGCTTGTTTATCCAGCAAGATAATTTGGACAAGTGTCACCTCTCGGATTTTCACGCGCCGGCTAAAAAGTAAAAAGTGTCCATGGCGAAAATGTCGCAACTTTTCTGAAATATGTATGCATGCGCGCGGGTTTCCCAAAACTAACTAACTAGCTGCAGTTGAGGGTTAACTGCTGGATCAGGTGCACCTCCAACGGCAGGTCCTGGTCCTGGTGTTGGTCCTGTTCCTGGTCCTGTTCCTGAGCCTGTCTCATTTTATTTTGCGGTCCTCGCCGTAATTTCGCCATGCAACGGCTTTCGTGGTATATACATTTTTTTCTTTTCGGCAGAGAGGAACACGCGTAATTGGTGTTTGTGGTTAGTTTTGGGTCTGAACCCAGCATAAGGCGGAGGTCACCGGCCAGAGGATGGCTGAAAGTGGCTGTTGGCACTTTAATGTTGGTTAGGATTGGATAGTTAAGTCACCTGTGGTTTAGCTGCTGGTTTAGGTTTAAACTTAGTGTGGCGCCAGTAGTAGTCACAAGATCGAAATAGTGAGTAGGATACTTCACAAAATACTCTAAATTATATGAAGAGTAGAGATCAAGGACTCCATTACAGTTTATTGCAGGATTTGATCCATGCAAACACCTTTTTTTGGGAAGGTATCAATAATCTGTAGACCTTAGAAACCGAATTGGCTCATAAAGGCAAATGATTTTATACTTTTGAACAATTTTAAAATAAGTATTCAAAAATAATCCCGTATTTCATTTCTATTTTATAAATATTTTAGTATTTTAAAGGAGAGATAACAATGAAGATAACATAAGTTCATACTTTATTAACAGACCTTTTGTCAGTTTGTCAAGTATTGACATCTCTACATCGCTCTATTTAACTGATGTATATAAATATAGAACATATATTATGTGTGTGTGTGTGTGTTTTTTTTGCTCGATCCCAACTCAATGTCCTGCCACACATCCTCCCACATTACCTAGAGCGACAACCTGAAGCCAAGGACTACAATGCTGTCCCAAAAATGCGCATGTCCAACCGAATCCCCGACACAAGCTACATTTTTTGACAGCAATCAGATGTTTTGGAATGTTGGCGCCCAGACACACACACTCGGGCAGGGGTGTGTGTGCGCTTACACAGACAGAGAGGGCTTTGTTTTTGTTAACCTTGCCTAACGACGAATGGCGAAAACAAAACAAAAACGTGAAGAATCCAAAGCGAGAGGCGAAAAAAGGGGAGCACGTGCAGGAAAAACAGTGCACAGAGGGAAAATCAGCAATGGGCAGGCGCAGAAAATGCGCTGAATGGAAGCCAGAGAAGAGTGAAAAGCGGAGAGAGAGAGAGAGAGCTCTCCGATGGGTGAAAAGCTCACTTTTCGACCAGCCTTTCGGGGCGTCCAGGATTCCGAGTTTGTGGCCAAGTCATTGCGTTCGAACGTCAGCAGTTGGAACAAGGACGCGTTACGTGCAGAATCTCAGCGCGCAACCATAAAAGTGGCCCGAGCGCGATTTAATTCACAGAAAAAAAGTTCATAAATATGTAAGCAGCACACAATAAAAATTTAAAAATTCCGCTGTTCAAATAAATGAGTATCTTCATATACTCCAGTGCTGAGTGTGCGTGTGTTTCTCGCCGATGCAGCAATAATTGTGCCAAATCAGCAGTCTGTCGTTACGTATACGCAACGTGTGCGAAGTGTTGTTTTATTGATTGCCCAGCAGCAGCAGCAGCAGCAAAGCCACATTCAAACAAAAAGGAAAATCGAAAAGGAAATGTCGATAAAACAGTGAAAGTTTAAAGGGCAGCCTCTTCTCTGAGGCTCGAACAGTGAAATGTGTGCAGCTGACAGTCAAGGTCGACGTCGCCCCATGTCACCCACAAAAACATAAAGATCTACGACGCATAAAAAAAGCAAACAAACAATAATAATAGTAAAAGCAAGCAAAACCCCTTTGCAGGCACTTTAAAGTCATCAGCCGTTCACCAAGACAGCGAAATTAAAGTAAGCCCAATTCAACCTCAGACTGACAAACGAAAATCGAATATTCCTTGCGTGTTTCGTGTAAAAGTGAGGGGAGAATTCGGTGTGGAAAGGAGGTAATCCTGCCGAGGATGCCATCCATTCTTAGTGTGTGTGTGCACCGCAAGCTTATCTCTCGGTTTTAGACACACACGGATACATTATATACCACATACAGGGGGATATCTGAGGAGGGAGAGCGGTCCTTAAGCCGGCTACAAAGACAAGTCTGCAGGCAGCCTCTTGTCGCAGGTCCTTCCTTCTTCGCTATTCTGTTTGTAGGACAACGAACCGAGTATCAACTGTTGGATTATTTTTGTATTGGGTATTTTTGTGGGCGCCTGACATAGTTTTTGGCCTTTGTCTATTATTTGTCGCCATGTTCCTGCGCGACTGCATTTACAGGTAGGCCTCCAAAAGGGAACTTTGAGGCAGGTCGGGTCACAGATTTCCGCTCTCGAGTGCTTAAGTAATGAAAATATGACTTTTGTGCATTGTTCTTTATTCTTAATACTTGTACTTAATCGAATTGAGTGTCTACATAACTTTAAGCAAGATCAAAGTAATCGGAGTTTGTGTTGAAATATATTTAAACTTATAACTAAATGCTAACGAGCATTTAAGACCTTAAAATGCCTTTTTTGCCTGGATTATTTTGACTAAAAGTTAAATTATTTAACAGAGAACGAATGCACTTTTGGTTGAGTTTCAAGAGGGAATAATGGATGCTTCTTTATAAAACTTCTTTTAAAACATTCTTGAGTAAAACCATCAGAAAAGTTCATCTAAAAACGTTAATATTTGATGTACGCAAGTCGAGAAACTTTGCAGCTTATCAATGTTGGCTCAACTCGAATCAAGTTAATTTCGGTTTAAAGATTGTTGATGACGTCCCATTAGGCGCTATCTACATGCGCCCTTTTTTAACTTTGTCATCGCACAAGTACAAGAAAAAGGAGGGAAAACACCACCCCATATCGAGGGGATTGCCCCGCCCACGTGGCGTATGAGTTATGCATTATGACTTTGCCTCTCGGAGACATTTCCCCAAATATATTTCCATCATCTCCGGCACTCTGTTTGCTGTACGCATTACTACAAATATTTGCCCATCGGACAACATATTCCTCTGTTGTCTTCTGGTATTTTTTTCGATTGTACTTTGTTTGGATTTCCCTACTTTTTGTGTTTTTATACTTGCTTGTTACTTTGACTTGTGGGCCCGGCGAAAACGAGGTCAGAGCTGAAATCTAAGCCGTAAGCTCTAGCCAAAACAGCTGATGTCAGCATAAAATGTGTGAGTTTTACGTGTTTTTTGTTTCAGACTCTCTCCTGAGAATAACACGGAGAAAAAGGTTAACCATCTTATCGATTGGAATTTTGGGTTTCTGGTTATTATAAAATATAAATCTGAACTCAGGATATTCATTTTGGTATCTAAATAATAATAAATAAATTACTAGACTTATAAACAATTTAGTTTGGAAAGTGTATTTATTGTCCAGTATAATCGATAAAAATAACTTTTTTTAGCTCTGAAAAATTGTATTAAAATTAAAATGATTTCAATCTTTTATTATTTGGAAATAAAAAATCTAAATTAAATGAATGCAAAAAGAACCACAAATACTTTTTCGTTTTTTTAGTATATTTGTTTTTGTTGACATTTTCTCTAAGTGCATGGGCAGACATAAAAGTACCGAAAATGGGCGTGGCCATGGAGGCAGAGGTAGTTCTTCGACAGCCACTCGACCATGGCCGAGTGCAGTGTCAAAGACTTTTTGCGGGCTCTGATTTATCAGCAAATGCACCCCGCAGGCGACCATAGGACACTCACTCGAAAGCCAGGCCAAAATAGTTCTTCCTGCATAAATTAAGTGTTTATTTTGGCTTCAGCTGGAATATCGTTACATTTTATGCCGAACTCCCTGCGCTGGCCATCATAAATAGGTTGCTGCCTTTTAGGCGTTCCTAGAATTTGTGTGTGGTTTGTTGGTGAAAAAATAAAAGTGCTTAATTTGAAAAACCAAATGTTAGGAAGTACTTAAATGAATTGAGTTACGCTGTGACTTTTCTAATATTTTTATTTGAACATTATTCTTACATAAAGATGAAGCAAACAACAAACAGAAGACTTCTTAAATACTTTGGAATTATACTTTTTAGCTACGAATGAGCACCCGTAGAGCTATTAAAGTGCCTTGAGGTAAATTCAAGGTTATTTATAAAATTGTTATAGATTAACTTACATTCTCTTTACTAAGTATATAAAAAATCGTAATTAAAAAGTTTTCAGGCATGAGTTACTTCAAAATAGATCTTGAAACACTTTAAGGAAACTCTGGCTAAAAAATGTCTCAGAAAGTGGGATTTTAGTAAATTCAAACACTTTTGAAAATTCTTGATATTAAGGCGCAAGAAGTTAAAAGTCCCACGTAATTTTTAATAAGTAAATTAAAACCACAAATCATATTACGCTATGTTTGCTTTTATTTCCGTTAAAATGGCTACAGTTTCGTAGCATTGGAATAGGATACCAAAATGTAATATTCTATTTTTTGTTCCAACAAAAAAAAAAAACAACTCCATTTCCATGACTAATAAACATTTTCGTTACCACTTGGCCGCACACACAAGATTCATGTTATTTATATAAGCTTCTTCTATATTTAAAGCTAATGCCATATGCACATTTCAATCTCGAAACTCGGGGAAGAAGTAAAAAGGGGCGAAAGGTGGCGGTGGAAAAGCGGAAACTCTCGCTGATTTATGTGCTAGTTTTCCTCGCTTTTTTCCTGCGCTTTCCTTTTTCGTTTTTGCCTTCGCTAACTAGTTTTTGAGAGTTGCGCAGCAGCATTTTACTCCAATTAAATTTTCATGCCATATGAGCATTTCGCACTGCAACTGGAAAAACAAGGACGAGAGTGGCACACAACGCGACGCTATTTTCAATTTCCGCTGCACAGAAATAGAGAAAGGAATGCGATTTTTAACACAATTTCACTTTGCTGAGGGAACAACGGACTGCGAGTGTGGCGGTGAGTGTGCGAGTACTTGGCATAGAAACTGTTGACGACTAAAAACAACAGGCCAGGCCAACATACACACACTCGTAGGACATAGCACATATATCCCCGTCCAATTCCGGCGGACTCGGTGCCCGACGACCCGTCACATCGACCCAGAAAGCCCTTCGCCTTACTCACCGACTGACAGTTCAAGTCAAAATGCCCTTTTATTGAGATTTAAGCATTTTTGGGTCATTTCCGAATTGTGTTTGCGCAACAGAGACAGAGACTCGTCCGGGCAGCGAGAGGGCGCGACCAGTGCTTAAATATTAAAAACCTTGTGCCGAAACTACTAGGAAGCCCCGAAAATCAATAACCCACAGCGGCCAGAGTTGAAGGCTAAACGGGGTCCCTACAAAAAACAAAGTAAAAATAAAAAGCCAGCGAAAAAAAGCAACATTTAGCCAACAACCAAAATGGGCATTTTGCATGCATAGATACATGAGGGCTGCAAAGGATAGCCACACACACAGGATGAAAAAGGATACACAAGGCCAGTGGAATACAAAAAACGGGAAACAAAAAAACTTGGTTGAAAGCTGGTTTTATTGGCATTTAGCCTCATCTTGTTTGAGAACACAATATAACATGATATTGTAATGTAAATTGTTAAGCCAACACTGTTTTTTTTTCAGCCTTGGCTGTGAGTTGTAAAGTCGGGATTTCATTACGAGTGGATTTTATGCGTAACACACAAGTGATTTAGTGAACATTTAGTAATTTCAGAATTTCTATACAAGAAATAATAACTATTTGAAATAAATACTTAATACTCATACTCACGTTACTTTTAAAGTACTCATACGGTAGTAATTGTATCTTATGACTCTTAAATAAAATGCATCTTATATAAATATATTGCTTGGTCATTACAAAGTGTCTGTAATTTATTAAAACAACAGATTATAGGTTGGATTTGAAAAAAATTTTAGGTTTCCTAACTTAATTTGAACCAACTCGTGTAGGCATAATAATAATATTAATGTTCCGTAAAAGTAATAATATTAGGTGATTTTACTTTGTAAATGTTTATATGATACTTTAGTGGAAATTAGTTATTAGTGTACACAACATTTATTTTATTTTATTCACTTATACAATTTTGACCGAAGATAAAACTGAATTGAAAATGTAGTTTGATTATCGTTAAATTTCAGATAGACATCTAAAGAATGAGAGAATACATTACTGGGAAGTGGAATAAATAAATTATGGTAATTCTTCCTTACTGATCCTATAGCTAGCGCTAAATGTAATTTAGTTTAGTAAGAAAAAACAAAAGAATTTACCTTCGGCCAAAAAAAAAGAAAAATAAATATCGAATCCATATTGTTGCATACTAAAGAAGAAAAAGTAGGCCATTTTAATAGCACTTTCGCATTCGCACAATGCGAAATCGATAGGAATTCGGATCCCAAACCCATTATGGACACGAATATCCTCTATAACATCAATCAAATTTAAGTACCAGACATATGTATCACACCGTTATCCAAATGCGGAACCGGTTTCCATTTGCTGGCCAACATATCAAATATAAATTACCATAATGCGACCGACATTTTATTCGGGGTTTCCGTGATACTTTCACTTTGACTTTTCCCCTCCGCCGGATGTTTTATGGCTCCCTCCTTTTTAGCAAACTCTTCTCCGGGCCATTTTCGCTGCTCTTGGCCCTCTCGCGTGTACGGGCTTAATATATATCGCGGCCGTATAACATAATACACGATATAGAACGGCTAGTACCGCTGTTTGCCTTTGCATTGCATGATGAAAATGGAACTCGGAACTCGGAACTCGCTGGGCAAAGGCAAATTACATATGAGTTTAACCCCCATTTCGCAGCAAACGACCCGCCGCGGCTTGGCCTTTTTGCAGTCGCTTCAAGGCCACAATAGTGGTCAGGCCGTAGTC